ACCCTCACTCCGCGCTCTCTGTATAAGGATACTGTATGTACCCTGTATTAAACACCCTCACTCCCTGCTCTCTGTATGAGGATACTGTGTGTACCCTGTATTAAACACCCTCACTCCGCGCTCTCTGTATAAGGATACTGTGTGTACCCTGTATTAAACACCCTTACTCCGTGCTCTCTGTATAAGGATACTGTATGTACCCTGTATTAAACACCCTCACTCCGCGGTCTCTGTATAAGGATACTGTATGTACCCTGTATTAAACACCCTCACTCCCTGCTCTCTGTATAAGGATACTGTGTGTACCCTGTATTAAACACCCTCACTCCCTGCTCTCTGTATAAGGATACTGTATGTACCCTGTATTAAACACCCTCACGCCACGCTCTCTGTATAAGGATAATGGATGTACCCTGAATTAAACACCCTCACTCCACGCTCTCTGTATAAGGATATTGGATGTACCCTGTATTAAACACCCTCACTCCGTGCTCTCTGTATAAGGATACTGTATGTACCCTGTATTAAACACCCTCACTCCGCGCTCTCTGTATAAGGATACTGTATGTACCCTGTATTAAACACCCTCACTCCGCGCTCTCTGAATAAGGATACTGTATGTACCCTGTATTAAACACCCTCACTCCGCGCTCTCTGTATAAGGATACTGTATGTACGCTGTATTAAACACCCTCACTCCGCGCTCTCTGTATAAGGATACTGTATGTACCCTGTATTAAACACCCTCACTCCGCGCTCTCTGTATAAGGATACTGTATGCACCCTGTATTAAACACCCTCACTCCCTGCTCTCTGTATAAGGATACTGTGTGTACCCTGTATTAAACACCCTCACTCCGCGCTCTCTGTATAAGGATACTGTATGTACCCTGTATTAAACACCCTCACTCCCTGCTCTCTGTATAAGGATACTGTGTGTACCCTGTATTAAACACCCTCACTCCGCGCTCTCTGTATAAGGATACTGTATGTACCCTGTATTAAACACCCTCATTCCCTGCTCTCTGTATAAGGATACTGTATGTACCCTGTATTAAACACCCTCACTCCGCGCTCTCTGTATAAGGATACTGTATGTACCCTGTATTAAACACCCTCACTCCGCGCTCTCTGTATAAGGATACTGTTTGCTCTCTGTATAAGGATACTGGATGTACCCTGTATTAAACACTCTCACTCCGCGCTCTCTGTATAAGGATACTGTTTGCTCTCTGTATAAGGATACAGTTTTCTCTCTTACCCATTGTACAGCGCTACGGAATTATGCTGGCGCTATATAAATAATAATATAATAATAATAATAATAATAATAATAATATAAGGATTATCTTTGCTCTCTCAGGCTTTGTCATTAATAAAGGGGAAATCCTAAAACAGAAGTGATGAGAGTGAGATTGTGAAACATTTCATTTGAAGTCCCCCGTATCTATTAATCATCTCTCTGTCCAGTTATATGTCAGTTTCCTCACTCCCAGCAGGGGACAATCCCACCCAATGGCCCTGGGGCCACCATAAATAAAGGAGCTCACTTCAGACATTTCACATCGCACAGAACGTAGAGAGGTAAGGGTCTCGATGCTACTGATCCTGTGCCAGGTTATACCCACTCTGAAACTGCGCATTGTTCCAGGTTATACCCATTCTGTTACACCTCACTGTGCCAGTCTATACCCACTCTGCTACATCACGCTGTGCCAGGTTATACCCATTCTGTTACACCTCACTGTGCCAGTTTATACCCACTCTGCTACACCGCACTGTGCCAGGTTATACCCATTCTGTTACACTGCACTGTGCCAGGTTATACCCACTCTGCTACACTGCACTGTAACAGGTTATACCCATTCTGTTACACTGCACTGTGCCAGGATATACCCACTCTGCTACATCACGCTGTGCCAGGATATACCCACTCTGCTACATCACGCTGTGCCAGGATATACCCACTCTGCTACACCGCACTGTGCCAGGTTATACCCATTCTGTTACACTGCACTGTGCCAGGTTATACCCACTCTGCTACACTGCACTGTAACAGGTTATACCCATTCTGTTACACTGCACTGTGCCAGGATATACCCACTCTGCTACATCACGCTGTGCCAGGATATACCCACTCTGCTACATCACGCTGTGCCAGGATATACCCACTCTGCTACACCGCACTGTGCCAGGTTATACCCATTCTGTTACACTGCACTGTGCCAGGTTATACCCACTCTGCTACACTGCACTGTAACAGGTTATACCCACTCTG